GACATTTCTGTATGATTACTTTTGCTTCATTTTTAAACAGGTAATAATAAAATACATAAAAGTGGTATTGGTGCCACATTATTCAGAGCATTTAGCATTATCCATAGAAAAAAATATTAAGAAAAAATTGGAGCCGTTTTGGATAAACTGGCATTGGAACGTTTTTTCAAAAACCGTGGAAGAATACAGCGAAATGATGTGAATGTCACCTGTCACTGCATTTAGCGCTATCCGTACAAAAATGTAAAGACTAAATTTGGAGCTATTTACCTAAAAATGGTGTTTTAATAATTTTTAATATTGATCTATTTTACCCAATATTACGCAAATACTATTAAAATTTTCAAAAAATTATTTGACGTTAATTAAAGAAATAATTGGGGAGAATAAATTTCATTTGATGAAAAAGTCCGCCTGGATCTGCTTGCAGGCACTGCCGGTCCCAAGCTCGGATAAAGGAGGAGGGTCTTTTCACTAGTATGGCAATACTTCCACTTACTTTTGCCATACTTATTTTAATTGTCCTATTTCGGTCACTCTCGACCCCTTGTATTTTTCGACCCCGATGCTATTAGGTTGCGAGGGCTAGGGAGACTTTCCTTTCTGATCTACTTTATGTAAACTACTAATCTTTTTCTTTTTATAGATCCTGTTCTGAGGCTTCTTGATGGGGGGACAGACCTCAGAGCTGAAGCGAAAGCAATCTGTCTAGGGAGAAAACCTTATACAAATCCTGCGAGTTTGGGAGCAGTGAGGTGGCAGCCCCACTACCAAACTTTCCCTGCACAGCGTTCGTAGCGCGGCCAGGGGAGATTCTTATGACTGGCTCACTCATTGATTGTAAACAAGTAAATCCTTTGGTAACGATAATGGCAAAGTTAAAGGACAAACGTCTCGGTATATCAGAACATGTCAATATAGGGACTTGGAATGTACGAGGCATAGCTAACAAAGAATACGAATTGCTAAGAGAAGTCAGGAGTGCTAAACTGGATTTGATTAAGTTATCTAAAACTAAAAAGAAGCAGAGGGGAACATGTGATCTGGGAAACTATACACTAATTAATAGCGGTGTACCTATCGAAAATAGAACGGTAGCAGGAACAGCTATTCTAATAAATGAGAAATGGAGAAATAGGATAACTTCTTACAGTTGGGTAAATGAAAGAATTGTAACATGCAGATTCAAAATAGCTAGATTATTATATCAGTGTATGCTCCTGAAGAGGGTAGAAAGGAAGAATATGATAAATTTTATGAAAGCCTACAAAGTGTACTAGATTCCACAAATAAAAATGATTATATAGTCATAGGAGGAGATATGAATGCTAGGATAGGATAAGAGCCCATTAAGGAAATAATGGGAACAAACGGAGAAGTAGTAATTAATCAAAATGGAAAAGTGTTACGTGATTTTGTGAATTTTAATTCATTACGAATAGAAAATACGTTCTTCAGACATAAAGATATCCATAAATTTACTTGGGTGAACAGAAGATACAGATCAATAATTGAATATTTAATTGCAAATGAAAAGATGGGAAAACTATTTCAGGACGTGAGAGTGATGAGAGAAATGGATATAAATTTAGATCATTTCCTAGTAAGAGGGAAAGTAATCCTAAATGGGGAAGAACAACACGCAAAATGATCACCATAAAGGAAACAAGCTAACATAACCAAGCTAACCTATTAGAAGACCCTAGCATCAGAAATTTATTTCAATCACGTATAAGACTATATATGCTAAAGAAACCATCAACACGAACATTGAATTAGAATGTCAGAAGCTAACCCAACTGATAGAAAGTGTAGCTTTTGAAACCTTAGGGAAAAGGAATAAATATAAGCCAAAAAAGGGATTTAATGTGTGGAATGAATTGAAAGTGCAGTTCAAAGAAAGAAGGAGTCAAACCTACAGTGGCTCATGACGAAAACTCCTGAGACATTGGAGGAATATAAAATACAAAGAAGAGAAACAAAAAAATAGTAAAAGCTGCACACAACGAAAGCTGGGAAAGATACATATCTAACATAGAAAGAGATGTACATTGTCGCCAGTATATTGCTTACAAAATTATGAAACACCTAAACAGAGAAGAAAAAGACGCATCAAATTTAGATCTTCAAGATAGAGAAGAATGGATGAAGTTCTGTAAACATCTGTGGACAAAAGAAGAGGGAGAAGATGTAAATGATGAGTAGGAAAAGAACAGATGTATATCAGAAATTGATAAAATAGAATTTAATGAACTTCAAGAAGCCTTACAAATTTGTAAAAACCGAAAAGCTCCTGGCTCAGACAATTTAAATATAGAAATATTCAAATATCTACCAGAAGCAGCGACGCAGCGGCATACTGCGAAAGTATAGGCTTCTAGATTTCCTAAATCAATGCTGGCAACAAAAAAGAATACCAATGGAATGGAAGAAAGCAGTAGTAATACCCATTTTTAAAAGAGGACCAAGAACTGACTGCGAAAATTATAGAGGTATAAGTGTTCTGAATACGGCATATAAAATATATGGGAAGATAATAGTAAATAGATTGAGAAACATTGTAGACAGTATATTACTTGAAGAACAAACAGGTTTCCGGAAAGGAAGATGCTGCTCGGATAATATCTTTGTATTAAAACAAATAATAGAAAAAAGAAGAGAATATAACTTAAAGACTTACATAGTCTTTATTGATTACAGTAAAGCATTCGTTAGTATACACAGAGGAAAACTGGAAAATTATGGAAAAAAAGGAATACCATTGCACTTGATCGAAGTTATACGGAATATAAACCTAGGAAAACTGATAAACATAAAACTAAAACCTGGAATTATTGCCCAAGGAAATATTATTAAGGGGATCAGACAAGAGTGTTGTATTTCACCTATACTTTTTAATCTATATCTAGATAATGCTGTGAGAGAATGGAAACAACAGATCATGAAAATTAAAATAGAAGACAATTTTAAAGGAAAAAACATTATTAAAACTTATATGTTTGCTGACGACCAGATTTTAGTTGCAGATAAAGAAGATAATCTGCAAAGGGCACTATATGAACTATATAAAATAACAAAGCAATATAATCTAAGTATATCTACAAATAAAACCAAACCATGGCATTCCAAGGCTCACAACCTATAAGATGTTAATTCATATTAGAAAACAAAAATATTGAACAGGTTAATACCTTTAGATTTCTAGGATGTCACATATCATATCTCGGCGCAGTTAATATTGTAAGGAAGATAGAAAGATTCAATATGATGTGTGGCACCATCAAAAGAGCGCTCAAAGGAAAGGTCCGTAAAGACACAATGCTAAAGTTTTATTAAGTTACGGCAGTGCGGACTTTACGGAAGCGAAAACTGGACTATGAACTCCAGAACACACAGTAGACTTCAAGCAGCCGAGATGAGATTTTAAAGATCAGTCCTGGGAGTAACAAGAATGGACAGATTAAAAAACGAGACCATCCGGAAAAATATAGGAATTTACAACTTAAATGACAAAATTAAGGAATACAGAGAACAATGGAAAAAACACTTGGAAAGGATGGAAGGTGACCGTATTTCAAAGCAAGGACTTCAGTACATCCCTAAAGGAAGAAAAAGCGTTGGTAGACCTAGGAGAGGATGATTAGATCAAGGAGGCGCAACGGACCAACCGGTCTAATGCTTGAGGAAGAAGATGAAGAAGAAGAAGAAGAAGAAGAGGAAGAAGAAGAAGAAGAAGAAGAAGAAGAAGAGGAAGAAGAAGAAGAAGAGGAAGAAGAAAAAGTCTCTATCTTCAATAGTATAGTTGTTGGAAGTCTTCGAAAAAGTTTAAACTGTTTTCGAAAAACTATACTATTGAAGTGTAGTAGAGTTGTAGAAAAAAATCTGTAAAAATTAAATTTAACTCAACAGAAGACTATAGAGAATACCGGAAATTCTGTGAAAAAGTGAAAATCGTGCATCATTCATATAGGGAGCCTACCCAAAAAACGTTTTCAGCGGTCATAAAAGATCTGCCAATTACCTATAGGAAGGAGGAAATATTTAACGAACTTTCGAAAAACTTTCAAGTTTTAAAAGTTGTTAGACTGTTCGGAAGAAAACGTAAACCATTAACTACTGTTGCGGTGAATAACAAAGCAATTTTAAGAATAAATCAATTTATAGCATTGTCAGAGTGCAAATTCGCCCCCCTAAAACCCCAATCATGTGCAAAAATTGTCAGGCTTTCGGTCATTAACAAGCAAATTGCGGAAGGCGACCGATGTGTGAGATGCTTAGAAATCCATCATTACTCTCAATGTGATAATCCTAAACATAATAATGCACCAAAGTGTGTTAACTACAGTGGGGAGCACACGGCTAACTATGAAGGCTGCAAAGCATTATCAATCTTTAAAACGATAATACGTCTCTCATTAACATACGCCTGTCAACTTTCCAACAATATAGCAAACACACATCTGAAGAAACTACAAATCATGCAAAACAAGCACGTAAGAAAAGCCGTACAAGCCCCTTGGTTTATTCCAAATAAGCAAATACACCGAGAATCCAAAAGGAAAGTAATATTAATTTTAACGACATTTAGAGTATTATTTACCATTTGGACAGTATAACTCTAAAGAACCTGTAACAAGTCTTGTACTTCAGCTTTTGGGTTAATGACCCTCATCTCAATCAGATTTTCATCCAGTATCCCTGATCCTTGAGTAAAAGCTGAGATGTCCCTTTATTTTGCTTCTGTACATACATGTATCTTCAAATTAACTTTACCCCATAGCACGTCACTCAGTTTTTAACCGTTTTTGACGTAAATAAATAAAAATGTTGTAGTTTTTATGTTTCTCTCATACCTGGTAAATGCATTGTCATATACCGTTATCCATTAGTAAGCACATGCTCGTATATAATGAGATTGGAGGAAACACATCAATAAATGAATAAAACTGTTCACCATGCACGGTTACATTTCTTTCTACCTACTATTCCTTTCATATTTACCAACATCATGTTGGAAATGTAAACAATATAAACACGTTTCGTGATATTTCTTCAAGACCGTAGACATATTTATGGAATGTGGATGTAATGTATTCAAGGTCTTCAGGAAAGAACTTTAATGCTTCAGGTGTGGGTATGAAGTTTACACTTCCATGACTAATACAAACATGTGTAAAGTAAAAAAAACTTTTATCTTTGTTCATAATATGAATAGTGTTATAAATAATAACATAATTATGAAATAATCACAGAATGATCCTTTTGATTCATGTGTGACAATACCCAGATGACTAGTGAGAATATAGTCATTAGCAAAGTAGTCTGTAGCCGATAAAAAATATTGGAATAAGTCACAATTGTAAGAAAAATTACAAAAGTCAATACAGATAAAGACCATACACGATCGTAATTTACATATTATCACATTTTAATACTATTTCAACATACTGAATTGCTTTTTGACTTTGTACTAATTTGTTTCACAATGTCTACACATGATCCCTACAATTATTTTATTTTTACATTCTCCGTACTAGCATCTTGTGCTCTAGTTAAGTATGAATGCATTGACTTAAGTTACACTAAACCTTTGTCACAAATGCAGAAGCAAGTGTTATTTTACAAGTAGCATAAAAAGGTCTAGGCCTCCGAATGTGAAGTAGGTGCTATTGTGATGCAAGCTTGGGCGTCATTGGTATTTGGTCGTGCTGCTGGAGTACGAATGGTGAATACTCCAGAAGGACAATTTCCGATGTCTAATATTGAATTATCTTCACTCTCTGTGCTGGTCTCTCCAGGGTTCTTTCTTGTTGTTCTGTCTTCCTTGGATGAGGCATCTCGCAGGGAATTTTCAAAATTTTCGTAAAGTGGAGTACACGGTTCAGACGACGCACTCGTTATGGAACCTGCGAAAAATGTGAATGATGTTAAAATGGCTATTAAAATAATATTTCAGTATATAATATGGCATTTTAATGTAGAATAGAAGAATTTTTCCAAACATTGAAAAAAACGTTCACAGAACATAAAATTTGTTTGAATGTCACCTCTGACGTGAATTATAAGATTAATTAAAGAAAAAACATTTTCAGCAGTAATTATTATAAATTAACTATGTATATCCAAGAAATAAGCAGGAGAGATTTATCCTTTACCATTAACGATATAGGTTTTGTAAAGCAATATCTGTATCAATCACATTATTGAATCATTTGAAAAAGCTTTCGTCAAATACGACTTACATACAATACATTGTTTTTGACTTCATCATAGTATTTTTACATATTATGATATATACAAAGTGATATTGAACACATTTTTGCTACATTATTATAATTTAGACTTTTTACTTCCAAAGCACTTAAACATTTTTTGCTGCACGCCCCCTTCTTCAATGTTGTGACTGCGAAAGCGAACCTTAATGGTCTCTTTTATGCCGTTTGAACAAGAATCAAATTGTTTTACCTCTTCACTGACTGTCAGTCTCCTTGGTTTTCCTGAAGCTACAGTTCTGGAAACGTTAGTTTAGTAACAGTTTGGGTCGTCCTTAGAATTGAAGACGTTATTTTATTTGAAATATAGCACCGACTTATTGTCCCAAAGTAGACTTTGAAACGCAAACGAATTCCATTAATTCTCCTATTATTTTGTGTAAAAAAGAATTTTAAGATGAATAAACATTTTTTCTGAACAATAAAATTTGAGTTAGACAGCGTCCTCTGAATGTGATAAATAATTCAAAGAGAGACGTTGAACAACAAATCTGAGCGTTTTTAGAATCAATGGACTGCAAGTAAAGATTTATTTGATTTTATATAAAATTCTGAAATTCAAACGAAAGTCTTATTTCATAAATATGTATTTCATGTCAAGCATATTTACTGTCTAACTGCAAGCTCTTTATAAACAATTTAGATTTTCGTTGATCCTTTACTATCCAAAAACTAGTCGTGTTAAAAGATACTCTCGCAATATTTGTAAATTCTGCAATTTTCAAAAATCGGAGTGTGGAACGAAAGTGGGATCAGAGATCTTCTTATACATATTTGACACTATTAAATATTAATAAAAATATTAGGAGCTGTTTTTGGTAAAATCTTATTTAAAAAATGTCTTTATTTAATCCAAAATTAAGCAAATTCGTTGGAAGTTAAGAAAATATCAGATATGGTTCGAAAGCTTCTTACCTGAAGACTTCCTTCTTGGATTGATGAATAACCACCAGGCAGCGACTACTGATCCTAAAACCATCGCCACGACAACGATCACCATCAAGGCAAGTTGAGCTACTGTTTGGTCTGGGAACAAAAGGAAAGTCGTAAATATAGTTTTAAGATTACTATTAACCATTGCTTTTTCATAACTGATGCACTATACCTTGTACGATTGATTCTTCTAGAGCATCTACAATTTGCTTATGTTGCTGAAGCCTGGCAACTTGGACATCGTTCAGCGTATCAAGCTGACTTGTGTCAAACGGAATCGCCTCCGAGAGCGACTGTTCGATTCTGTTGTCATCTTCCGAATCGTAGCTGGATCCATGAGTGGGCAAGTTGATTCTAAACAAAACATGTATTTACAGAAATAATTATTTTTAGGTTTTAAATTTCCAACAGTATAGTTATACGGACATTTTTTAAGAATCGTATCGCATGCAGGATCGCCATATTCGGCAGAATTCCGATTTTGGGACTGGAAAACGGCTCTCTTGCGGGACAAAATCTGACTTCGCGGAAAGCCCCCAATAGGCAGAAACGCATTAAAACATGTGCGGTTTTGGGCGCGTAATCATATTACGATGAAATTGTCAAAAACCAAACACAACGAAGTTGGCAGTGTTTGAGTTTTTAGTTTTTTACTTTATACATTATTTTCCAATAAGCATTTGTTAATACGCTTAAATTGACTTTGAAAAGTGAGTAATCTTATTTTTAGATCTCTAGTAGAGAGTGTGTTCTAAAAGTCATAATATCTTTGTCGTTAGTGTATAAATATTTCACATTGACAGTACTTGCAGTTAATTTTAGAACTCGTAATTTAAAATTAGTCATCTTTTGGAAGTACGATGTCACTGCCAGCTTATTCCGTTAAGCCATAGGAAACAATCTTTCATATGTAAGCATTTCTGTGGAAATATTTTTAAGCGCGGATATTTATAAGAAGCAAGGCGAGTGAAAATGGGAAAGGTGTGCAATTATTTTATCCGTTGAAGTATTCTTCCTAACTGCTGAAGTCATGAGAATAGTCATAACTAATTTTTAAATTTTAAGATATAACTTATTATTACCAGAAGTATAATTTTTTACATAAATTATTAATTAAAATGTTCACAAACAAAAAAAAATGGAAATCAAGCATTTCATAGGGTCTCTACCTCAAAAGACCTTCAAAATACGTTATTTTAATGCAAATTCAAATTTCCCGTTTGAAAAGTTGATTTTTTCTCATTGTGCGGAATTGGGCGGATTTACTGCCATCTAACAACGGATGTTCGTACAAAGTATCTGGCAACCCTGATCGAGTGCGCACATACGAGAAACAGTACAGTGCACGAGAAAGTAACGAGGGAATTGGAAAAGCAAAAAGTTGGAAAATCAGAGGGAGCGTGGAACAGAGGAAATGAGGGGGAGAGCGGTGCTTGTGAGCGAAAGGTCGTAGGCGTGATGGAGAACATGGGGACGCGATAAAGGGGATGGTGATGTCATTGCAGTGTCTCTGACCGGGAGGTCCTAGGTTTGAGTGCCGACGGTGGCAGGATTTTCGACTATCTACAAAGCAAGGTCGCATCAGCCCCTGCCTAGAGGAGAGTTCTAGCGGCCGGCTGCTCTAATCGATAGTTTTCCGTGTTTTCGTTTATCAATACCATGCGAAAGCCGGAGCAGTACTTTAACAAACTGGCCGCTGACCGCGCGCGATCATTCCTTCCCCTATCCTCACCTCTTACTTCCTCGCACACTTACATGCACTACACTACCGCACGTGCCGGCAGACCGGTCTGGGGCTTAGAACTTGTCCCGAAGGTAGGTCGGCGCCAGATCGCACCTTTCACCGAGAGAGATCAACGTTATCTCCCGAAGAGAAAACACTACACTTACGGGACCGATGACCTTAGCAGTTGACGCGTAATAACTAATCGATCAATCGATGAAGGGGATGGAAGTGCCGGAAGGAGTGACAGAGCAAAGAGGGCGTCGGAGACGCGAAGGGGACAGAGAGAGCGAGAGGGTAGATAGGGCAATGTCGATAGAGGGGCAAGTGTTTGGATGAGGGCGGAGTGTGAGGGACTGGAGGGTGGATGAGGATGAAGGGCGAAACACGCGCAGGGGCTTCAGCGTGCGTGAAGCTAAGAGAAACGAAAAGGGCAGTGTTGAGGCTGCGAAATATTGCTTAGATGAATTGGGAGAGCATTAGCAGAAACTGCAACGAACATCGCCTTCTATGTTCTCCTCAGACGAGAGAGTTCTGGAAAAGAAACGGCACATACTTTATCAGTTTTGGCAGTGATCTTCCTCCGCTGGAATGAGGGATCCAGACCGACCTACTCGTCGGCTTGCGGAATTTTCCCCAACCAAGTATCTCCCATTAGCAGTGAGCCGCCTCAGCCGGCACAAGTTCTAAGCTCCCGACTGCTCTCACGGCATGTGTTGTAGTGTAGTGCACGTGAGTGTACGTGTTGAAAAGTAAGGGGTGAGGAAGGGAAGAGGAGGGATAGATCGCGCACGGTCCGTGACCCGTTTGTTATGGCGCTGCTCCTGCATTCGCCTGGTGTTGATGGGAAAAACTGCAGACACTCCCATCCAGACAGCAGCTGAATGCTACCTAGCTGTGGAGCTAGTGCCTAAAAGCCTGCCCTGGTCAGAAGCACCGCAGCGACATCAATTGAATCCCGGCGAGGGGTGGGGATGGGGGTGGGGGTGCGCAGGTAGGTCCATACCCCGCGCGCACGGTGAGCGTCTCGGGCTGGTAGGTGCAGAGCACGAGGAAGCGGCGCGTGCTGTGCGTGAGGATGGGCAGGTTCTCCTGCACGAGGACGTAGGTGGCGACGGTGGTGGCGTTGACGTGGACGCCGCACGCGTCGTGGTCGATGCGCAGCACGTAGGCGGCGCGGGCGCTGTGCGGGTCGCCCGCCACGGCGCAGCGCTCCCCGCCCCCGCCCTCGGCGCCCCCGCCCTCCGCGCCGCGCGACGCCTCCACGGCGATGCGCCCGCCGAAGTACGGGCCCGTCTGCACCTCCACCTCGCTCGCGTGCGGCAGGCACTGCGTGGCGCGCGCCGAGACTGCAACAGCGGTCGCACCACTTCACACCTCCGTCACACGACTGCCGCCTCGTTAAAGCGACTCACAAAAACACGGGTTAAAAATGAGGGGGGCAGAGCACAAAAGAAATAAGTGCGATGCCGGAAACTTGTGAGTTCAAGAACTAGCGTTAATATTTGTATGGTCTGGGTTATCCGGGATGAGCTGCCTCTGTCGTGGTGGCTGACGTTTCGGCCAATGTATTGCGGCCTTCCTCTGAGAGTACTGGGCTGGGCTGGGCACTGGGTTGCACGATCTGAGAAGGAATTCGTTAGCCGAAACGTTAGCCCCCATGACCCAGATGCGACTCGTCCCGAATAATCTACACAATACAAACCCCGGCCGCGGAAGCTACGCAATCGTACTAGCGTAAAGTTCAAAGTCTATTTTATTAAATGTTCACAAACTATTCAAATTGCTCAAACAGTTAACGAGTTCTAGTGGTGGAAAGAAAATTATTTCTTCAACGTTTTTTATAGTGACATTCAACTTTGAAATCAATTTTCTGAATGCAACATTTACGTCACTTACATTGTTTGCGCTACATCACATGCCAACAATCGCACACCGAAAGGAAGGGGTCAGTGACACACACCAGCCATGGTTTTTCTTTCTTTGTTTATTATTACTCGTAGATGGAAGACTTAAATTATTAGAACCTTTCTGGACCCTCAGTGATAGTTTTGTCTTTGAACGCGAATCGGATATTTCAGAAAAATCATTGTCACGAGTAATCGCTTTGTGGGAACCCCGGCGCTCTCTTACAGTCAGATGACTCCATAATCGCGTTTCAATTTTGTTTCAGAATCAGACGACAGAGAATAGTCGAGCATATGTCGAAATGTAGTGAATACTGGACTAATTCTCTAAAAAGAAAAAATCTAGACAATCGTGTGCCCATGGAAAGCACGTACAACAACTGTTTAAAGTGTTCCTTGTTAAGTTAAATGTTAAAGATAAAGCCTTGTTATATCTCCAAAATTGAATATATATTAATCCAAGATTGCAAAAAATGATTGTAACATATTTTCAATTTTCTACTTTCCTTCAATTAGGTCGCAATTTAGTGTGGGGTTGAGCCTCTCCCGCCAATGATGCGTCCGCCAATTCAATCTCAATGGCAAATGGTATAAGATGTTAAGAGAGAGAGAGAATGATCGCTTTAGATGAAGCTAACATTCAATTTCTTGACTTTAATTTTTTTGCTGAACATTCTTTTAAGAATTTAAAAAAAAGTGTGAATACGTTAGTCAATATGACCCTAAAAGCCTCAGAAATTGTTCATAAATTGGTCACAAGCATAAACAACGTATTTGGCTTTACCTTCATGTAGTCATAATGACACCCATTAGCCATTCTCAAAACTGAAACATTCTTATTGAATAGTTTTTTTTTATTTGGGGTTAAAACGCGTTTGCAATTGGTGATAAGTGTTCTCACAGTGAGAAGCACCACTGCACACACACTGAGAATCCACTCCGAAACTCTCTGCATGCCTTACTTCAATTTGCGTAAGAGACATGAGTGGGAAAAGGTATTTCCCAGAATTAGTTAATGCAATCAGGTGACTTCCATCACACACTAAATTGATCTGGAGATCACAATTTGCGAAACCTGTTCTGAACAGTGGTGGTAGTACGTGCTGCAAACTCTTCATTTTCATGATATGCATCATGTTGTGGATCTGTATACTATATCAGTCTTATATAATAATTATATTTATTTAATAATATAACAAATGTATAAATGCATATTATATGACATCAGCGGTGGGTGGATAGCTGTAGTCGAATGCGAATCAAGAGGATGAGGCATAATGGGAATGTAGCGTTAGCTCTGCCGTCGCAGTGGGGAACTCGTATTAAGAAGGCAACGTTGTGCAGCAGCCTCCTTGCACCTCACACCACTCGGGGGAGCTGTTCGGCGAGCGCCTCCGCTGCTACTCACAGCCCTTGGTGGGGACGACGATCCTCCGGGGCTGCAGCGGCGCGGCGGGGGCGGGGGCGGAGGAGAGGGCGGGCGCGCGGGCGCGCCGGCCCTCCACGGGCTGCACGGCGAAGGTGTAGTTGGTGGCCATGCGCAGCCCGCCCACGTCCACGGCGAACACGCGCACCGGCGCCGCCCCCGCCCCCTCCGCCAGCAGCGCGTCGCGCCCTGACGCCCACGGCACCACCTGCCACACACACGCACACACTCCGATTAAAGAATTTCACCGCAACTCACAAGAAATACACACGAGTGGCGATTTTGCAAGCCTAAACTCTTTTAATATTTTCCTTTTCTTTAACCCCTATTCCTTTTATTACAAACTTAATTTACCGGTATTTCAGGGTGAATCAAGATACTTTTCGTTTCAATATATATTATGTACCAAGCGAAGTGGCTCAGGGCATAGCGCGCTAGTTTCGCAATTGGGAAGTTCAGGTTCGATGGCCGGGCCGGCCAACCCTATTTCCCTCCGTCACAAGGCGAATGCTGGGATGGTTCCGCATCGCAAATCGCACGAACACCTCCCACTACCCCACCTAACACCTCCTACCATCATCCTAATCTTGTCACCCTATAATAATAATAATAATAATAATAATAATAATAATAATTATAATAATAATAATATACTATGTTAAACGATGTTAATAACGACTTTAAATGTTACATTGTGTTCGGCGCATTTTAACTGCCTAGCTCGAACTTATTACTCCAGATGCAAACCATTGTGGACTCCAACCTCTCCTTCCACTTCGCCATTGTGATTATGAGCCCACATCGGCCACGCAGATGGAGTCGGACAATCATATACTTCAATTAAATCTGTGTTCGTCAAGGTTATGAGCTGGCAGGAAAGAGGGATACTGCTACCCAATCGCGAGCTTCGTTACGACTTAAATATTTGGCACTGAAGCTCCGGATTGGATGACACTGTCCCCCTCTTTTCAGCTTGTGATCTTAGAAGTGACAGAGTTATAATTGAAGTCAAGCTCGTTAGTCCACCGTGCTTAGTCCTGCATTAGCGAAGCTTGGTCAAGCCACACTCCAATAGACAACGGTAAGAACGACAAAGACATAAAGAAACTCGTGTTGAACCGAGTAAAACTCTCCCAGCGGTCCCGTCCATTGGGGTGGGGTGGGGGGTGGGGGAGAACGCGTTTCCAACTGCTCGGGAATTGGGGAACAAACAAATACAAAGTTACAACAAAGGACGGTAATTTCCGGCGCTCTCGTAAAGAGTACCTGCCCGTCAGCGGCCAACAGTAATACCGTGGCAATGTGGGTCAGCAAACTCTCCGACAAACAGGCTAATTACAGACCCAATGAAACGTCAGCAGAAGACTGTGGAATTCTGTACGGGCAAATTAATAACCTTAAACTGTACCTAACTGTACGAGCTGAAATACCGTCAAAGAGAATGTTGGAAAGCAATAAACGTTGGAAGTTGCATTGAAGCGCCATCAGTAAGTAGACTGTAACTCTATCACAACTAGTTTCATTGAAAAGTGTGGAAGAATGTACTACGAGTACATTCTTCTAAATCAAGGATTCTGAACCTTTTCCTTGCTTCTACCCCTTTTAAAAAATGTTTCGCTTCAGGGGCCCTCTTCAATATTTCTTTAATATACAGAAAAATCATAATACAAACAGTTTCAAATAAAGGGCAAAGTTAATGAATCGAAACAGAACGTGAAAAAGATTTGACATATCGGTTTATTAGAATAAAATTTTATTATTTTTGGCACTACTATAGTAGTAGAGAAGCTTTGTCGCCTAATGAAGTCATAAATGAAGATGATACTTATTGTGCGAGTACAATTCACAACTTAAATTCCCCACTTTTCACCGGCCAGGTTAGACCCCGACGTCGCCGCCGAGTTGCCTTGGGTAGGAATTGGCGTACCTTGGTGCGGCAGCGGTGCGGGCCCCAGGCCTGCAGCTCGCAGTAGCGGACGTGGAACTCCTGCAGGTCGAGCGGTAGGCGCGGGTACTCCCAGCGCAGCGTCACGTCGCGGAAGTCCGGCTCCCCGGACAGGTGGCGCACCTCTGCAACGCACGCCATCACCCACGATCAATCTCATGCATTCATCTATCACTGCAATTATCATTGTTTATAAAATGTTAGCTTGATTAAGTTTCCAAATCAGATTTTAAGACAATCATATTTTTTTGAGACTGTACCGCAAGTGTTTTTTTAAACAAATATATTGCAAAGTATAAAATGGAAAAATAATTCAATTACAATATGTTAAAAAATTTTATGTTACTGTCTCAAAAAACAAAAACCTGATTCTCTTAAAATATTATTTGGAAACTATCAAACTCTTATTTATGCTAACACAATTTATATCAGGATTCTCAGCGTTTTCCTTTCATCGACCCTTTTTATGAGAAAGCTTCATAGCTCGCCCCTTAGGTTTTCTCAATGATGTACAGCATTCGAAATCAAGACACAAATAACTGCGCATAAATGCATTAAAGATAACAATTTCATACCTCTATGTTCATGAAAAATATTTCTATTTTTCAATTTTCAAAGGCTTTCAAGTTTTGAATCTTCGTTGAAATGCAATGGTTACAAAATGTTGAGTGTTTATTTTTAAGAATTGGCCATAATATTTCTCCATTGCGTATTGGGTAGAGTACTTTTTTGCTCGATAGAGTATCGTTGGCAACATAGTTATATTTTCATGCATTTTTCAAACATTCTTATTCCTTAATTCCTGAGGATGGGAGACCAATACCAAAGAAGAGAAGCGAATATGTAATTTAATGTCACATGTTTTATTGCTTATGCAATACTTAGCTTACTATATAAGTAAACAGTTAATTAATATTTGGTTGTAATCAAAGTGATCTTGATTATATCGATAAGGTGCCGGTTTCTATTAAGATATTGTTCTCCAAACGAACCCCATTGATCATCATTGACCCCCATCAAAATTTCATCAACCCCTAGGGAGTCTATACCCACCCCGTTGGAAACCCCTGATTTATACGAACATAGGGCTGGCATAAATAAGAGACTTAAACAGTTAACTTATTACATCGACATACTAGCACATTTTGGCGCAAATTTCAAATTTTTGAACTGATAAAATTGTTGTTAACTATTTTTCACTATCGTGAAATTGTTAAAAAATCTGAAACAAATATACGCAATAGAATATAATGTCACATATTATAGGGGAAACCTGAGATAGTACTCCAACGTTTATCACGTCGAAAATGAATTTCAATTTTTTTCTATTTGAATTTGGCGTCAAAATTGGTTGACCTTCAAATTCACCTATTTTTCTCCGTCTCTCTCATATTTTTCATACAGACATATTCAATAGAAACTGAGAAAAAAAATAAAACACTAAAAACACGTATGTTATTGTATCTCTGTAACAGATTGCCCTTGGAGGCTGATTTTTTGGAAATCTACGACATTTTTTCTTCTCTTTGCGATTATCGATTTTGTTTGGGGACACTCTCTACCCCTTATTCGGCTGTATCCTTTATGTTGGTGAACAGCTGAACGTCACAGTTTCTTTGATGTCACTGCATAAGATCTATTGGCTACAGCCGTCACCTTCCTTAAGCAAATCGTCAACAAACCCCGTTGTGTGGTCAGAATATTCATTATTTTCGTGATTTCTTTACTATGCAGTACACATTCTTTTATATGAAGACTAGTTATTGGTGTCAGAAATTGAGGGGAGACGCAGTAAAATATACTGGTGTAAATTGAATGGCTCTATACGAGAACTTTATTAAAATTGAATATTATTACTATCATTATGTTCTTGAATCGTGTTTCACGCATCTCCTTCCAAATACTTCTTAGCATGTAACGATCCTACCCTGCCCAGGTTTCTGTAAACGAAACCAATTTTCTTCCCCCGAAGCTGAAGAACCAAAATTAGTGTTCACCGCAGCGAAAATAATACAACAGGTTAGCGGTTTCTTAGTCCAATAAAAAAGCGAGGCGGGCCGATTTGAGAAGCACGACCGCAAGACGACAACGTGCGTACGCTTCCCGCCGTGGCTGGGCTGGCTGGCCGAATACCTTATTAGAGGCCGAGACTCCGGAAGTGCCGAGACCGAGCGCCTGCGTGACGCCACGCTCCGGCGTTTGGCTCGTAGCACGCTCGCTCCAGGAAGCGGCGCCGGCGGTAGGCAGCCTCCGCTCACGCCTCGCTCGCTCGCTTGCCCGAAAAGCTCCAGGGCACTTGAGCACTTGAGATATATCTACGTTTACTTTCTCGCCCTTCATAAGTACTTCATAAGAAGAGAAAGTTATGTAATCGTGCGCCGGAAAACAGTGAATTGTGGCAGCAAAACTCTTATTGCCGGGCCGTGGTAACAAATCAGTGGATAAATTCTGTTGCTAAATATAGAAAAGGCGGCATTCGACGAGTAGCGAGCTGCTGCTCGTTCAATACCGAGCAGCTGATCTGTTCGGCGAAGTTTTGATGTGTCCAAAAGACCGACACGCAGTGGATAGGGCGAATACTGAATGTGCGGCGCTCGGCGAATCGGAAGCAACCCGTCCACACTACTCGGTATTCGGCCAGTGTTTGCTTGGGATTCGCCAAATGCCGCATTTGTGGAGCCGCCTTAACACGTGGTGTAGGCAGAATCCATTATTTGTGGGTATTTTGGTACCGGAAAATAGATTAACGGCCAAATATTTGTCTGTCCGTTGTCAACTCTAGCTCCTGAACAATTTAGCCGATTCTCTCCAAAATTGCTAATCCTCGATCGATCTGACCAAACTCGAAGGATTTATGAATTTCAAACAGATATTTTCATTGTTGGGTTGTTTTCTTTCACATGAAGTTTGACGTACGTTTTCATGGGTCTGCTCCAGTTTGACACATGGAGCGGTTCTATGGCGTAGTGGTACAAGCGACAAGGTTACTCTGAGAATCTGAGCGTCTTAGAGCGGTAAAAAATGCTGGTTGAAAACTCTTTTGCAGTTATGTAGTAGTATTATAGGGGAGCAGTTAGAAATAAAATGAGGAAGTATGTGTTTTTGTAGCATCACTAGTTAATAGTTAATACCCTGTTTCGAAAGTACCTCTTTAGCACCTGCGGGGGAAATTTCTTTCAATGTGGTGCTATGCAAGTACTCTCGTGAATCCTTTAATCGTTAATCTCGCGTAACCTCACAGGGAAGTGTTTTTATTGTGTACTGTATTAAACAAATGGAATGAAACAAAATTATGAATAATAAAAGTAATAAATTAATCTTATTTTCTTAATTTATAATAGTTACATGAACCTTTACATGAACATATGCATACACAATATTGCTTCATCAGGTTATGGTACATTAATACCAGTTTTTTACAACACTTTATTTCATGTTATATATTTATTTAACGTTTCGACCCTATTTGGGATCTTTTTCAAGAAAGGGATTATTTTAAAAGGAAAATTTTTTTGAAATAGAGTCGAAACATTAAAGAAATATATAACATGAAAAAAATTGTGATAAAAATCTCATAGTCTGTGTTATAATCGTCAAGAAACTTACAATGAAATAAACTTTATAACAGACTTCATAATTAAAATTAAAATTTTAAAAATGATAATCTTAAACGGCGTTTGGCCATTATTGCCTTTTTAAAGCATATAGTAAGTCATGCACATTAACGTCAGATGATTTATTAAAATGGTGAGTTGGATTTCATTTTAGGCTACGACCCGAGTGGATCCGCATTCGGCCGAATTCGCATTTAGTCGAACACATATTTGGCCGTTTGCGGCCGAATATTTCCAACCCTCACTCAAGCGCAGGCACGGCCACACTGCATCCGACAAGTCCTGGCGAACACGGCCAAACTTCGAAGTGAGCAGACCGATATCAAATGAATTTGATTTATTCTGACGATCTGAGCTGTCGGAGATGGATGTTGAAAAGCTAGTGTTACTTGTACACGAACGAGATGCTCTGTGGAAGTCATCGTATTCCACATATCACAACAGAGACATATATGGGAAATCATGGAATGAAATCGAATATGAATGGGCGAAATATGTACGGAAAACTAATGTTTATTGAGTTTTAACCAAACTTACGAGTAGAATCGTTGGTACCCATTTTATGGACCAATTCTCTTCAGGTACAGTTGTTCAGTTATTTTTCTAGGTAATAAAAATATGGATACGGAACGGAACCCCATTTCGATCAAGATTTTGTCCAGTTACCCTGATCCTTTGAGCAAATGCTGAGATGGCCCTATGTTTTGCTTCTGGACGTAAATGTAGCTTCACTATGCGCACGTTTTGTTGAACTCTCCTTTTGCTTGTAATGGCTGGAGTAGAGGCAAGGGCGAGTTATTATTTCGTTAGCAATGCAGAAAACTTGCAATTCGTTTACCGATGTAAATGTCTGTTTTTTTTCATATTGCTAATCTCGCGCTTTTTGAAAATTTATTTTTATTTACTTATTTTAAAGTTTTACTCATCTTTCAACTATTTAATGTTAAAATGATGAGAAGGGGTTCTGGAACTCAAGAAATAGTATTTTTTTGTTTTTGAAATTTGTAAACTCCTCTGTATCTCAAATGAGATATGGACTTTAACCAATAATTAATATTTATTTATTTATTGATCAAGTTACACTTAATTTATTTTATATTGAAACAAACTGTACAGTTTCAGTGTCAAATTACTTCACAAATGTAATAAACATTTCCAATAATTGTAATGTGAGCAACTCTAAATGAAAATATCAATGATCTGAATGCAATTTCTGTTGAAAGAAATCTGAAAGTAATATAAATAATTTATTAGAATTTATTAAATTATTATTAATTATTAGAAAGATGTATTCATTGTCATCAAATCTAAAGCAGTGAATAATAGATTCTTAGTTATAAGACATTGGTCAGCCTTATTTTATTTATTTTAGATCAAAATGTTAAATCTAAGTAGCAGAATTTCATAAATTTTGATGCCACGAGAAACTATGTAGATTCCAGTACGAAACGTGTCGTAAACATGGGGCATAACCTCGCACAACTTAAGATTATAGACAGTCGTTCCTCTGTAGTAA